ATTTTTTCCTATTTTACCTCCCACAATTATGATCTATGGAGCAACTCGTAATTGCCATTTCTATCCATTATACCTGATCGTTCCGGTGTCCCTAATATGCACTAGTCTCATCATCTCGCGTCAATACTTCATTTTTAATATCTAAACACCTAAACTGCTGAAATTTGCAATTGTTCCATGGGATTAAACTGGATTTATTTTCACTTTCTCTGGATCTTTTTTTAAATTTTTAATTTCAATCTCTCTCTTGAAAATTCACGAATTCAAAAAACAAATCCAATTCCAAACCATAACTCAAATCAAAATCCGTTTTCTCGATGCTCCCCGCTTACTTGAAACTACCCGCTTGCTGAGCTGCTATCTTGTGATCACATCTAAAAAAAAAGAAATTTCCTCACTTCCCATTTGTAGGCTAGTACGATGGCTGCTGACGGCTCAGTGTTGATGGAATCGTCTCAGCCAATCAGCGTCGTGAAGCCATCGCACTCATCACAAGCACCAACTGCTTACGGTAACTCCATATCAACTCCTGCTTCAACTCAAAAGATCATTGATTTGAAGAAGTGAGTTCACTTCAACAAATTAGATTCACTAGTATTATCCATTTGCTGCTAGCATGATGCCGACTCATATCTTTCTTTTTGAGCTGCGCGATTCTGATTTTCCCGTCTGAGTCGCCTTTTTGCGGCCGGAGAAAACGGCTGAAGACAAACACTTGAATGAACTTTACCTTCAAAGAATCGTAGAATCTCCATTGAGGAGTTGTCATAACGTAACACAAAAATGTTTCATATGAATGAAATATCATAACAATTCCAATCCGCCAATAAGATTTAAAAAATTGCTCTACGCACGGTCACTTCTCACACTCCATGAATATCTGTCTATCTTCTCAAGAACACATTCCAATAATCCCACGGAAACGCCATTCAACTCAAGCGCCAGCTGCTCATAGTTTGAATTGAATGTTGAATTGAAGTTCATTTCGGCTGAATGAAATCTATAAAATTGGCTTGAAGAATGCCAAATTTCTGGTCGAATTCATTATTTTGGTCAATTTCAGATCGTATTCAATAATCGTCAATATGCAACTTCCCAAAACATCTTTCAAACCAACTGAGCCAATCTTTCCGTGTATCACTATAAATAACGGTTGGAAAGCGTCGCTGAAATACGTTCATTTCAACATCGTGCAAAAAATTGCCTATAATGCGAAGCCGAATGGCAGCTTGCATCTTAAAACATTCACTAAAATGGTTGATTTAACAGGTCAATCCTCCTAATTTCTTACTCCCAAGCTTCGATACTTTTTCGAGCGGTTAGGTTTTCAGCAATGCTCCGAAAACTAACCGGATATATGAGTCCAACTTGAAATCAATTATCCAGACTGATATTGAGTAGAATCTCAATCCTTCACTGTAACAATTTTCATCCAGCTCATTATGATTATGATCAAATTAGTCGAATCATCGAATCATCGCTCTCTACGGATCACTAATCAATAATCTATAGTAAGCTGCTAAGATCCAGTCTGAGAATTACTTTAGAAGTACTCTATACAGTTGTAGGAATATTCCTCAGCTAGATAGTCGAGCCATCCAAAAAAAAAAACAGCTCAGCTAATTCTGCAGCTAATAACACTGGATTCGACCAATCTAATCTTATTCTCCTTTATTGACGGGTACCTGCTAGTTTCAAATGACCAGCTGCATTTTGTACGCTTTCAGGTGTTGGTCTACCAGCGACGCAAAAGAAAATCGCACCAGGCAGTAGTTTCACGTTCTCGCCTGAATACTACGTGCCCGCCTTGATTCCATCATTCGAAATACCACACTTTCTGAAGGTCGACTATGTGGCCAAATTAACAATTGGACACTCACCAAACCAGATATTCG